CTTATCACCCCTCAACATGATGATACCGCTTTTTGTTCTTATTTTGTCACTAATTGTGGGAGTGGTGGTAACAACATTTGTGGTGAGGTCATCATAGTGAATAGTTTACCTATCAGAGTATCAGGTAAGTAAACTGGTTTCCCTCCTACACAGTAATCGGCGGTCTGCTACTGCAAGAACTGCAGATGATTTTCCAGACCTTATTCCAGATTTGCCCCCATGATATTGAGAGTAGAAATAGCACGAGTCACGAGTTGGTGGGCTGGTTTTAGCTGGATACTCATTTGGTCCGAAAGTCTCTTGAAACTCACTGATTTTAGTAGACGTACATGGGGGGTTTTGGTTGGGCCATTTGGGCCTAAATATGCTTTGAAATTTGAATCCATACAAATGATTCAAATTAGAATATACTTGTGTTTGACATTGATAAAAAGTATTTAAAAATCTGAAAGACTGGAATTGTGAAAAGAAAGAAAGAAAGTTGTCATTGATTTGATTTAAATTTATGTGTCTATATCTCTCATTTTAATATACATTATACACCATGCATATCTTAATGTATTAGGCTCTTAATTAAAATTTTCATCGTCTAGCATTTTGGTATATTTCTAAAGGCCTCTAAATGTAAGAAAACATACATGTAGATTTGAAATAAACATACATGTATATTTCTAGACTAATTTCAGCCTTAGACATGACCATATAAAACTAGACATAAATAGACCATGCTAGATCAACTAGATCATATTATATCAAATCAAACTCAACACATGTAAAGTAAACATCTATAAGATTAGACCACCAAATCAGACTTACATCGACTAGACCAGATTAGATCAGACTATAAATTTAAGTCCAATTAAAAACAGGAAAATTCCTGAAATAGGAGCAAAAATGTTTGGGAATTCTAAAATAGTATCATTGTGTTGTGTTTGTATTCCTAAAATAGTATTCCCTCTGTCCCATTTTACCTGTCTTACTTTCCTTTTTGAATTGTCCCAAAATAAGCGTCATCTTTCCCTTTTTAGAAAGAAATATGTGGTTTACAACATTTCGCTTTACTCAAATCTCAATCACAACTTTTACCTTTTCAACTACTTTATTAGAAATTGTGCCAAAACCAAATGAGACACATAAAATGGAACGGAGGTAGTAGTAACATTGAGATATTTACTGTCATATTGGAGTCGTTATTGTCAAAATAATTGAAGTACTAGGCATAAAAATGACTATTTTTTAACATTAACGACAATATTTTTCAATCATGGTAATGACGATTCTTATTTCAAGAATAAAAACATAGTCATCATATTTTGAAATTTTAGAACGTTTTTACTTCTATTTAAAACAATTTCCCATTAAGAACATCCTTGATTCCTTATTGTGCTTATTGTTTTAATCCAAGTTTTAAACAATAGAAGGGTTTAACCCTAGACGTTCACACTACAAGAGAAAAGTTTTATTTTTTTCTACAAATTGAAGCAACACACATGCTTACCTAAAAGGCCGACACTTCATTGAATTTAAATTGTGAGAATGTAAATTGAATTTAATTACAAACTTACAGATAGTGAGATAGTGAGTGTGGCTGTGTGGAGAGTCATACTTAGGGATGGACCCGGTCCGGGCCGGTTCCGGTTCCGGGCCGGGCCCGGGCGGGCTTTTTTTCGGGTTACATGGGCCCGGAACCGGCCCGGGTTGATACCGGGTCCGGGCCTAACCGGGCCGGGCCGGGCCGGGCCCGGTTCAATGTTTTTTTTTTTTTTTTTTTTTTTTTATGACTTTCTTGTTATCTCCCTACCCCCCCCCCCCTCACCCCCACGCCCCAAACCTCCCTAAAACACCCAGCCCTACCCTAGGAAAAGAAAAAAAATTGAAAAAAACCAAAAAAAAAAAAAAAAAAATGAACCGGGCCCGGCCCGAACCGCCCGGGCCGGTTCAACAAAAACAGGGCCCGGAACCGGCCCGCCCGACCCGCCAAAACGGGCTAAAAGCCCGGAACCGGCCAACCGGGCCCGGTCCGGTCCGGGCCCGCACAGTAGCGGGCCGGTCCGGTTCCGGGCCGGTTCGGCCCGGCCCAGTCCATCCCTAGTCATACTTATCTAAGCATGGCTGCATGAGGCAACAACTAGAAATTTAAAATAGGACACCTCAAAGCCTTTAAACCACCCCAATTTTAACATTTTTAGAAGGAACAAGGTCCTACGTTTGAGATAATCTGAGCATCAATCCAGGAATGGATTTAGGGAAGGGCTTCGGGAGGCGGCCCCCTTAAAATTTTATTTATTTTATTATATATGCAATATTTTCATAAAATTTTGGGAAAATAACTTTAAGTAATATAAAGTACAAACTATTCTATGAACCAAGTATAATACGTACTTTGAAATTAACTTTTAATAATATCAACTATTAGAACATATACCAAAAGTAATACAAAACAATTTTTTCACTAAAAATTCATTCATTTAACTCATCAAAACTACTATCTAAATATTAAATAAGTGACTTTATTTCTAATTATTTGGTAGTTTGATATTTATTGTTGATGTTTTAAATGATTGGATTTCCTGCCTAAATGTGACTTCACATTACATTTATTCTACATTCAAATAGTTGATATTATTAGAAATCATTTTTAAAGTATGTATTATTATTGGTTCATGAGTGATAGTTTATATTATTTAAAGTTATTTCCCCCACTTTTTATACTTTAAAGAGATATCAATGTGTTTGCTCCCCTTGACTTTTGATTTTCAAAATTGATTACAGTGTTAAACAATACTACGTACTACCTCCGTCCTTTTTTATTTAGGCATATTTGACTTTTCCAGTCAAATGTGATAAACTTTGATCCATTATTTTAACTAATATATTTATTTAAAACTTAATAAATTTATACTTTTATGATAGTATTTTGGGGGAAAACTATCAAATAAGCCCTTGTATTATACCGAAAAAGTCGATTAGGCCCTTGTACTTTACAAACACTCAATTAAGCCCTCGAACTATTAAAAAACGTTCAATTAAGCCCTTTCAGTCGGTAAGTAACCGATTCCCCGGTTAAATGTAACCCGTTTCCCAGCTGCCGCCGTTGCGGGGGTTCGAGCACATCGTCGATGTCGTCGCCGTTTAACCGGGAAACCGGTTACTTACCGACCGATAGGGCTTAATTGAACGTTTTTTAATAGTTCGAGGACTTAATTGAGTGTTTGTAAAGTACGAGGGCCTAATCGACTTTTTCGGCATAGTGCGAGGGCTTATTTGATAGTTTTCCCTAGTATTTTTTAACAAAGAATATTTTCATATAATTTTCACATTATCAATATTACCGTGTATAAATATATAATTGGTCAAAGTTGAACAACTTTGACTTGGAAAAGGTATTTGGCTAAATAAAATGGGACGGAGGGAATATACAATTCTACGTACTTAATAGGAGGCGTAAAAGGATAAAAAACTAAAGTAATTTATATTGATGAACTATTTTAGTTAAGTTTTTCTTAGTTATTGAACATCAATATTGTTAAAAAAATATTTGTTGATCTAAGACTTGGGATACTCATTCTTGAAAGAAATCACATATTTATGATGTTTAATTTATCATTACTAGATAAAAGTATTTGATTTTGTAAAATATCAAGTAATATTAAAATATTGTAAATACTAGTTAAACAATTATCAGATAATGTGAAGTGAATTCAAGATAAAAATATTTGTGTGACATTAAAATTACAAAAATTCATTGAGCTCCAACTTTTTTTGAAAAGATTTTATTGCACAAATAATAAACTTAAAGTATTTTAGCACTAAAAAAAATATACTACGGAAATATAATGAATTAACAACATAATATTATTCTGGAAATCAATACTTTTTATACATAGCACTGTTCTAAAAATCGGTGACTAAACTCTAGGCGGTCTTAATCGTAAATGACTAATCTGCTTAGTCAGTCAAAAAATCGACCTAATCGGCCGCCTAGTTGGCGCATTGGCGCTGTGCACCCCTCAACCGTCCGACTACTGCCTAACGAGTTTTCAAACAATGATGCATACAATTGTAATTTAAAAAGACTTCTCTTGACTGATAAACAATGATGACAAAAAAGGTGAAATTCAAAATTTAGGTTTTTTATTCTAATAAGATTCACGCACAATGCAAAAGTCATTTATAAACACCCATGATGACTAAAAAGGTGAAATTCAAAATTTAGGTTTTTTATTCTAATAAGATTCACGCACAATGCAAAAGTCATTTAAAAAGTACAGGTGAATGTGTACTTCTTAGATCCTTTATCTTCAAATGTACGAGTATTAATAAAGCTTTAACCATTTTCTTATAATCAAATACTAGCAATTTTCTTACTCTTTTGTAGAGAACTTCAATTATAAAACTTATGTTAATTTGCTCATTGTATAATTTAGAGTGTAGTATATATGAATGTTATGTGTATGCTAATGAAAATGTATATTTTTTGAATAAAAAATAGGTAGTGTTTTATACTAAAGAAAAATTTTCAGCCCTTAAACACAATTATGCTAAGATAACTGCACTTTTAACTGCACAATTATCTTCAAAAATTTATTTGAATGTCTTCCCGATTGAATTTTTATGTGAAATTTGGTATGAATGAACTAAACTTAATGAATAAGATGCTAAAAAAATTACATCAAAAAATTCCACCGAGAACCGCCCCAAATGACGACAACCGGATAAAATCTCCTATATAAGGACTTATTTGACCCCTTTTATGCAACTTCGAGGACGAAACTGACCATTTACTCAAATAACAACTCTATCCCATTGTTCGGAAGTCCGAACACGTCACAACTCACAACTATTACTCGAAAATGGCAAATATAGGTAGTATATACATGTGCTACTCCGTATATCTGACTATCTGATGCGTTATTGTTTAGTTGCAAGGGTTGTAAGTTGTAACAATATGACTTTCACTTTTATGATTTTAATCACTAATATATTTAATATTTTATAAGCAAAACCTATAAAATGGTTATATTTTGAAATTTTGAACTAATAAATACTGCGTACGGAGTAGTAAATACCGCGAAGCATAACAGTACAGTTGCTATTCATAAATGAATAGCACATAGGCTATAGTGGTGTAAAAAAAAAGCACATAGGCTATAGTGGTGTTAAAAAAAAGCACATAGGCTATAGATGTATGTTGATTTTCTTCTTTTCCGGTACCGGAATTCACTAGTCCAAGATTAACAAAATAATAGGTGCTCCTTACATAATAATAATATATTCATAGCGGTAGGTAAATAAACAATAAGGAGCAATAAAAATGACTTCTCCTGTTTAATTTGATGCTCTTCAATTCTTCAAATTATTTATTAAGACAGGCCATCGGAATGCTTCAGAGCTGCATCGTCGCTTGGGACGTCTGCTCCACTTGGAATTTTACCAGGGTAGTCGGTCGTTGGAATGTCTGATCCAATCATACTACAAATGCAAAAAGAGTGAAATAAGTTACCGCAAAAAGATTTTCCAGGAAAAAATGTATAGAATGGCGTTTAACCTAAAGAAATAGAAAGAGTAAAACTGATTTAGTAGCCAATAGAAATTTAATACAGCAGCTAAATACATAGATTTTAATCATTGTTACCAGTTTTAATTAGACTAGGAGACCGTTTGGCAACACTCTTTTAAAGTTTATCAGGCTTATCAACCAACTTTTTCACCAAAGACGTAACTTTTGCTTTGGCGCGCTGAATTGTGTAATAAGCAGAAAAAGTAAGGTTGAAGTTACTTTTCTGGCTGTATTGGCTGAAGTTACTGTAGATGATCATTTTAACTATTTTAACATATAATTTTTTATTTATTTTATTAATTAAATATATTTTAAAAATATTTTTTCTTAAATCAGCAGAATCAGTCAATGCAGCCACTTCAGCCAGAACTTCATAAATTTCAGCAGAATTAGCTAAGACAGCCGATTTTGGTGCTACCAAATGGGCTCTAGGACTAGGAGGAATAATTTTATATTAAGAGCCCGGTTGGTGAGTGTTTTTCAGCTTATTCAGCCTATCACCAACTTTTTCACCAAACTCATAACTTTTGATTTTGCGTGCTGAGTTGTGTTATAATCAAAATAAGTAAGATTAAAATTACTTTTTTGACTGGATTGGTTGAAGTTGCTATAGAGGACCATTTTAGCTATTTTTCATATAATTTTTTATTTTACTAACAAAATATATTTTAAATATAATCCTGTCATAGTTCAGCAAAATCAACCAATTCAGCCAATTTTAATGTTACCAAATAGGGCTCCAAAAAAAGCAATATTAAACAAGCAAGAGCATTTGTGCTTTTAAAAAGTCTTCTGTTTCAAAGAAAACCTGAAAAAATGTTTTATTTGATAAACAAACTTTATCTTGCTAACATGCAAGAGAAATATATACTATCGTATTGCTGAAGTAGATGAAAATAGTCTTCTTACCATCTATCAACAATAACCATTGACCGTAGTTCACAATTCTTAAATCTGCAAAAAACGGAAATGCAACAACCATCAGAGTGGATATAACAGCAGTGAACAAAAAACGGAACTGCAGCCGTGATTCACAAAAAATAGGAAAATGGAAAGAAAAGGTGGATATAACAGCAGTGAACAAAATGAAACTATTATTTATTTTCGATCAATTAGAACGCCTTTTATTTTTATTGGGCCAATTAACAAATTAATGTATCAATTTATAGGTCAACATTCCTCTCAGACAATTCATAGTGAAGGAACATACGGTCTGCAAATTTCATTCTTCACATTTTGATGACAGTCCTTTCCAAATTCACTCAGAGTATGAATCAAAAATCCGCTGTGAGTAACCACTGCAATTTCTTTTTCCTTCCTGGTCGACAACCTGTTGCATTCATGAATTTTTAATCGAAAGCAAGAAAATATCATAATAATGAAAAAAATAAATATATACCGCTTCCGGCATGTAAGATGTTAAAACCCTCCATTGGAATTTTAAAGAAAGATGGGTTTATAATACACTTGAATGGATTAGCTACTAGCTAGTCAATTTAATCTTTTAGTTTACTTTTGCCAATTTATAGGCCAATTGAGCGACCACGACCCAATCTGAATTCTATCCTAATTCATAGCTTATGGATAGATAACTTGTCACTCTGTATGCTGTATTCTATTTATGCTACCACAGTACCACCTAATTTCCCATACAATCATCAACAAAAGCATAACATCTAGAATGGAGGTCTCGAGGAGTGATCTAATGAAGTTGCTCGAGATGAATGTAAGAAACACAGCGAGTCTAGTATAAGCAGCCCACAATAACGAGAGTATCATACATTATTAGAGTTATATAGAAGTATAGAACTTTTCAAATGAAGTTTTGAAAACTTAATAAGTATTGTAAGATTCCCTTTACTATGTACGAAATACATTTTTTCCTAATCCTAACTTGGATAGGTGAAACCGTGAAAATGCAAGAACATGGAACATTACCACTTTAGAAAGTTCATCCCCCTTTTAGCAACTTCTTCATTTGCCTCTCTAATGTCTTCCTTCCACAGTGTGTCATCATCATGTTCAATCTATTAAAAAAACACATATTGCTAGAAACAACAATGAACCCAACACAACTACAACTCTCACTTCATATTATTTTGATGGATTATCATTAGCCCTTGGGAATTTTTTTCCCAGTGAGAATATCAATGTCATGCAAATGTACTTACCAACGAAAAATCAATTGCTGGAAATGAAGGCTTATATTCGCTGATGCTTCTTCTTTTATCACACCAATGAACCCCCTGGCATTACGTGAGCATAATGAGATATGCATTTGAGATTAATAATTTACAATTACCCAAAAGTATGCAACTAAGCACTTAATACTATGTATAGGATAATGAGATACAAAGTCATACAATACAACATGGGCCTCCTTGAGACAGTTATAATAGAAAGTAAGATATATGCAACACGTTCCCTTACAAGATAATCAGATATCGAGAAAAAGTATGTAAGGACTTGAGTGGTCCCGAATAGAACCAGACAATGAAATACTTTGTATACAAAAGAGGACAAATGCATAAGAACAAAAGGAGCATAAAGAGAGATTGAGGGTAACACAAAGATACATTATACATACACATCATAGAACTTACTATGTGTTCCCGACACAACTCCATTGCCAGGAAACGAGGGCAATTTAAACTTGAAATTGCAGACCTGCTGCTGTTTCCAGCATTCGCCACCATTAGTGGTAGATCATGCATACCATCTGCATGGTCTTCTCCCCCGAAGACACCAACTGCTGTTTGCATAGTCCTTATAAATGTAAATATCAGGTTCAATGATGGTTCAAGTGTCAAGGTTCTATTCTATTTGTCAAATCTAGCACTCTAAGTTCTCTATGGATTCCTAAATCCCTTTGTAATCCTTAAATAGTAATCAGAGGAGAATGTTTATATATGTATTGCAAAGACACAAATATACTCAAAATCCATAAATATACATTTTCCTTCACTGAAGATCAGGAATTGGTTTGTCATTGTCGGAAACAATTTAAGAAGGGGAAAACAGACAGAGCTGAAGTCACTAAAACAATACTTGTTGCAAGAGCTTCATAACTTATTAGAAGCACAAATTGATACCTCAATAAAGGAGACACGACAACCAACTCAACCTTCTTAAAAAGACCAGATGAATGAACATGCTTGCGTAGATTATCCACCTGTAACGGTACTAGAACGTCACATTATTCCATATACTTGTAAATCTTTATAGAACCTTTGATAAAGAAAGCTGGTATTAAAATTTTTCAACTGAGAGTCTAAGACCATAGGCATTCTCCAATTAATAAAACGCATAAACAAAAGATGGGCGAGGAATGACAAACATATTAATTAAGAGGCCGTTTGGCAACACTGTTTTTCGGCTTATCAGGCTTATCAGCCAACTTTTTCACCAAACACATGACTTTTTCTTTCACACACTGAATTGTGTAATAAGCAGAAAGGTAAGATTAGAAGTACTTTTCTGGCTGTATTGGCTGAAGTTACTGTATCTGACCATTTTAGCTATTTTGACATATAATTTTTTCTTTATTTTATTAATAAAATATATTTTAAAAATAATTTTTTCTTAAATCAGCAGAATCAACCAATGCAGCCGCTTCAGCCAGAACTTCATAAATTTCAGTAGAATCAGCCAAAACAACCGATTTTGGAGCTACCAAACGGGCTCTAAGAGTTTTAAATATACTCCCTCCATCCCTCAAAGTTTGTCCTAGTTTGAATTCACAGATATTAAGGAAATAAATTTGACTTTACACTGTAGGTCTGTAGCGACACTGTTTGACACTGTAGCGACACTGTTTGACACTGTTTGATAAAGATTTGTTTGCCAAATAAGGAAAGAAAAAAGTAGGACAAACATTTTGGGACTTCCATTTCGGGAACGTAGGACAAACATTGAGGGACGGAGGGAGTAAATTATATCAACTAAATTAGCAAATTGTTGCATATAAATATATAATGCACCAGTTACCTGCTGCCAGCCAAGAGGAGTAAGGCTTGCATCAAAGAGGTGTGGAGAGAGGTATGCACTATGGTCCTTTTCTCCTTCTACATTGTGAAATCCCTGAGCATGCCTCACCTGAGAGAATGTGAATGAACATGTCATCGAAACGAAAGTAGAAGAAAAAGCACATGGCCAAAACTAATCATTATTTAAGTAGGCTAATACAGCATTTGTAAGACAAAAAGATATAGGAAAGAAGACAAACCAGGTGTATTGTTTTACACCTGTGGAGAGGATAGACACCCTGACCCCCAGATGCATCCATACCTACAACTGGAAAGCAAAAGACAAGCCATATAATCAGTTAAGAAGCAGAAAAGACTGACATCAAGCAAGAAGCATGTGAATCAGTCCTTCAACTAAAGCTATGAGAAATACTAAAAAAGCTTATCAGACCGGAAATCCAGTAATGAAGTCCATTATATTCAAAGGAACATCATGATAAAGCTTCCTGCTGAGTGCTGTATGAACTTTTTTTTACATGTCACTTAGTCAGCACAATTTCATTTCTACAGTTTTACATCACAGTTCATCTCTCATATCAAGTCCAGATGTAAAACAAGATCCATCCGCGAAAGAGGAAATAATTAAGTGTTACTCCGTATTTCCTATCACCTTTTTGAATGGTAAAGCTACTAAATCATAAATAAACGAACGCTCGATAACATCACAGCAGAAATAAAAGTTCAAACCGAATCAGCCAAATCAACCATTAAAACAAAACATAAAAATCAACTAAATCACAAAAAGCAGATACGCGCACATATAAATCACAAGCATACGTATTGATCAAATCAATCACTCGAGTTGCGAACCAGAGGCGGGAAAGATTGAAACAGTTACCAGAGGCGAGAGAAGAGGAGCACAGAAATGCGGCGGAGCGAGGCGGAAGAGAAACTGTAGGAGAAGAGGAGCGTGGGAGTTGGAGGCGGAGGCGCGTTGCGGTTGTAGGATGGAAATCAGCGGTTGGATTAGAATTACTCCGGAATAACAGGAATTCTACCTTTCCAAAATGACAATTGGAGAATAAGGAAATGCTTATTGTCATCGTGGCAAATTATACGGAGTATATGCTTGTAATAAACTCTCACGGGATATTCTTTTCTGTTTTTTCAGTTTAGTAGACAACTACTTCGGCCTTCTATCCTTGTGGATCCTACCAGCCCATTTGAAAGCCCACGCGGTCCAATTTTATAATGGGCGTTGGATATACTATTTGGAGCCCGCGTGTAATGGTGAAAGTATCCCGATACTTGGGCCAAATTACCAAATTGGTAAAAAAAATAGAGTGGTTTATCAAATGAGTAAAAAAGAACTTGTTGATACATATTGGTAAAAAAAGCTCCATTGACAAAGGCTAAAGGGTCAAATAGGCCCTTGAACTGACTTAAAGTGTTCAATTAACCCTTTATATAGGAGGTTCTGCCCGGCCATCGCTAATAGGGGCGGTTCCCGATGGAATTTTTTGATGAATTTTTTTTAGCATCTTCTTCATTAACTACAGTTATCCATACCAAATTTCAGCTAAAAATTCAACCGGGAAGGCAGTCAAATGATTTTCCGAAATGTACTGTGCTGTTTAACTTCGCAGTTATCTTCAAAAAAATCATTTGACTGCCTTTCCGGTTGAATTTTTAGCTGAAATTTTGTTTGAGTAAACTAGACTTAATGAAGAAGATGCTCAAAAAATTTCATAAAAAATTCCACCGGGAACCACCCCAATTGGCGACGGCCGGACAGAACCTCCTATATAAGGGGCTAATTGAACACTTTAGGTCAGTTCAAGGGCCTATTTGACCCTTTAGCCATTGACAAATTAGCCATTCTTTGTTTGTGAGACGTTTTTGGTCCTGCATTTTAGAATTTCCGACATTTCATGTTCCAAGTATTGTGAATTTGGCATTTCCCGTTCTTCTACTATAAATATGACCATTTTATAAGTTTTTAATGGTTGTTGAGACCAAATCATTGTCAAAGAGTAGAAGGATCGAAAATGTCAATTTCACGACACTTGAGATATGAAATGTCAAGTGTCACAAATTCTAAAGTCGAGGACAAAAAGTGTCACTCATAAAAATTGAGATTAATAAAACGAGCGCTTTTTAGAAAAAGATGCAATTGAATAGTGAATTAGTATGTTTTTGTTTCAATATCTTTTGTGATCTTTTGTGATGTAAACCACTATTTGAATGGTAGACGTCATGCGCAAGGTATAACGGTCTCACGACATAATTTTGTTAATGATTGATGATGTGTCAATACATTACCAGTATAAGTCAACAAAATTTTATATTTGTAACATTATTATTAATCTTTTTATCTAGCTTAACAATAACGTAATACCAATAATGATTGTAACACAGTACAAGTTAGACATGAACACATCCTATCCACCTGTCTTTCTTCTCCAAGCAATAGTAGAAACATGCAATAACAATATTTTTGCTTTGATTCACCAAGAGGCTACATGCATTTTCAGTCTAATTGATGTATATATATATTACTCTTTTCTCTAGCTAATAACAATAATAATAGGGATATAATAACAAACACTTTTGAGTAATACACATTAACATAATATAATAATTTAAATAATAATATAATGACAATTGACAACAAATCTCTTTCTTCCATTCCCTCTACCTTTTTTTTTAAATGAAAAGACTCCCTCGACGCTTTCATCACATTTTTTTTGTTTTTTTTGAAAGGATTTCTTTTTATTACACTTTTTCTTATACATAAACACAATGCAGTTCCCATGAGGATAATAATTATATTCTTATTATGAGAACGAGACACTTGCATGGTTTCTTGTAGAATCAGTTACACCATTACAGAAGATAGGCATGATTAATTAAATTATACGAGTAATTAAAAGTCCGGACGTCAACACAAATGCATTATATTGTAGAGGTTTTTGAGGATTTCACTACTTGGGTTTTGACATTTATCCCATGTGGATAGACATTCCATACATTAATTGACACATGTCACCTGTATATATGTTGTCGAAATGTCGACCGGAGACAAAGGATGATGAAGTGTGGAGCAGACTCTCGAGACTTCTAGAGCTGTTGTGCGGTAGTGTGGGAGTGTAGCGAGGCGAGGTGAGTGATGATGTATAGATAGATATCCTTGCGGACCTTGCTAACATGAGATTATAGATGGGCTGATTTTATATGGGCTGTGGATTGATAATTGGAATGAGTCCAAATTTGTGTTTCCTAACAGACACGGGCCATATTTCCAATTACATTCACACCTAAACAATTGAATGAAGCTTTAATTTGAATATATATATATATATATATATATATATATATATATATATATATAGGGAGCGGTTCCGGTAAGAACAGATCTTACGAGAAAAATGAGAACGAATCTGGACCGTTGGATTGTATTATGAGGAACCAAATTGTGCATTTGGTAAAACTGAAATGTGCATTAAATGATATTGAAATGTGCAACATAAAAATTTAAACTCAAGTGTGCATTAGATGAAACTGATATGTGCGAAAAAAAAGTACAAAAATAACATCACATTGTACTTTTTATTCTGCACATTTCAGCTTCACCTAGTGCACATTTCAATCTCACGTAGTGCACAATTCAACTACACATAATGTCACTCTATCGTAACCTTTGTGATGCACATTTCAATTTCACCTAATGCACATTACAGTTTCATCTAATGCACACTGAATTTCACTTGAAGCAAATCTAACGGTCCAGATTCGTTCTCATTTCTCTCATAAGATCGTGTTCTTATTTGAACCAAAACCTATATATATATATATGGGGCTCTGAATGAATATTTCAAATACATAAAGTATTTATAAAAGTATTATAGTCAACAAGATAGATTATAAAAATAAGTGTTACAATTGTTATGTTTTACTCTCATTCGTAGAATTTTCTCAAAAAAATGTAATCATATAATCAGTGTTTTGTCATGATCAATTATATGTAGTCGTGTCACAAGTTACCAAGCTTAAAGGCGTTCCTTGAGTACATCCACACTAGATGTATATCCAATTTTTTTAAATGTTTAATGTCTTCTATGTTGTAACGTGCTTTGTTTTATAAATGCATTTAGTGTAACTACTTATACTCCGTAATTGTTTTGTTTTATTATATATCATACATGTGTTTAATTGATAGTTGAATAAATATATTCTATAAAAATAATTCAATATGTAACTTAATTTATAAATAAAACACAAAAAAAACTTTTGTCATGTGCATCGCACATGTACAATACTAGTTATAATTTAAAGGTCTTACAGATACCGTCTCAATTTAGCCCACTCATTAATTGTTTAATAGTAATTCAAAAAATGAAATAGAATGAAAATAATTACAGTAGTGAAATAACACCGATCATCATCATATCAATATAATTGCAATTATAATATTATTTTAAATACTACCAAAAACAATCATATTTAAGATATTAACACTAAAAATAAATGAATTTGTGTATATATAATAGGTAAAAAATAATAATTTGTATTAATGTACTTACTAAAAAATAATCCATAGAAAGCTAAGTTAAATTCATAGTCCGTATATTTCACTCCATGTAGTTTTTTTTATCCGTGTTCTTAATAGTCACTTTATGTCTTAACAGCTAGTCGTGAACAACTAAGTACACAAACATTTCAGTTTAATCTGCTAATGATACCGGCTGGTCAAAACAATTAACAGAATCGGTTGACACCAATATCCGCCGATACGTCCCGCTATCAGCTAACTGGCACTGCTGATTGCCAACACCCCCTTTATTAGGGTAGAAAATTTATTATTGTTCTCTAAAACTTAGAAATATATAATCTTTCAAATAATTAAGAAAAAACAAACCAAAAATGGAGTAATTCACATCTTAGGATGTTTTTACTTGAACTGTAATTTGCTGGTTTGGTCTGGTCTGATCTGGTCTGGTCTGGTCTGGTCTGAACTGGTCTGGTCTGGTCTGGTAAGGTCTGGTTTCTTTGTATTTTTATAACTATCCAAGTCTGGTCTGGTCTGGTCTGGTCTGGTCTGAACTGGTCTGGTCTGGTCTGGACTGGTCTGGTCTGGTCTGGGGCAAATTACAGTCCAAGTAAAAACATCCTTACTCCCAAATTTTAGGCATATCAAATGCCAAAGCGCGCATGTTAAACATGACCGATAGAGATAAACACATACGGAGTATATAAAATTAATTTATAAAACATATATACTTCTTTCAAAAAACATATATACTCCATTACTTCTACTCCGTATTATGTACTACACGTATCACTTTTTCCATTGTTCTAAACGTTTTTCATTTTTTCACATATCATTTTTTTACATATCATTGTTTACAGTAATACAGTTCGATTCTCGGTATTGTGTTTGATTGAGAAACTATGAATATATTTATTTTTATCACATGTTAGTATATCACATGGGACTTGGTAAACCGATGTACGTTAATATTTTGAGGGAATAGGGAAGCAATTTTGTCACAAAGAAAAAACAAGACATAGAGTACACTTTTTGTCTGATGATAGACTTTCTATAATAGTTGCATTCCTATTCAATGCCCTCGGCCTTAGGGCACTGGGAAAAAACAAAGTAGAACGAGACAATTTTGATTTTTGACGGAGATCGTAGAGCTAGCTTGGCAGGGGGGAATGGTGGTTTTGAGGCAATCTTGTGGGCTACCATATAATTGTACTCCAAAGGGTTCGAATTTATAGATACATGCCCCCCACTGCACGGGCTTTTCCACCGGTCACCTGCTAATTTACTTTTTATGTTATTAGTAGGAGCCCCTTTTGGTGATCCCGTTTTTTTTAGGGAAAACTGTCAAATAGGTCCTCGAATTTTAATAAAAAAATCAATTAAGTCCTTCTATAGGAGGTTCTGTTCGGCCGTCGCGATTTGGGGTAGTTCCCGGTGGAATTTTTTGATGAATTTTTGTAAGCATCTTATTCACCAAGACTAGTTACTCATACAAAATTTCAGCAAAAAATTCAATCGGGAACACATTCAAATTAATTCTTGAAGATAACTGCGCATTTTTGCGTTCTCGAATTAATTTGAATGCGCTCCTGATTAAATTTTTAGCTGAAATTTGGTAT